AAAAAAAAAAAAACGAACTTTTGGCTACTTTGCATTAAAGGAATGAAATCCTGATAAAAAACGTCGCGATTTTTTTCGCAGAATCCATCGGCATGATATGTAACCTAAATAAATAGGGGTATAAAGCAGTGTAAAAGCAGTACCAGACTACGACGGGAACTACAGAACCTGAGCTGAAAAAAGGAGGAACGTTGACTGTTTCCAGACGAGAATATACGTTAAGAATTGAAGCACCTTGCGAGCCTTTAGCAATAATTTAAGAGTTAAAACTCCGGAAGAGTATAAATAGCAAGCAACTAACGTCGCCAGCGTAGTGTCGAACAACAAAGCAATCTGGGCCTATATGCAAATGCTGATGAGTAGAGAGCAACTGGCTTAACCTAGACAAAAACTGGTTATCTACGCCTTCACTTTGTCCGTGAATCTGTGAACAAATATCGTTCAGGATACACATAATGCCTAAAAATACAGTAATAACGTGGGAAAAAACCTCAAACACAATTTCTGAAGTAGACTTGATATAAACAATCGGTTTTCTAATTAAGAGAAAAATAAGACAGAAGAGATGAAACTGTTGTTTACCCGGTGGTTTTTTGGCTTCTATGAGATCACAAACAATCTTATTATTAAAGTAATCTATAGGAGTCCATACAATGCCTTCACTAACGTATTCTTCTTGCTCAGCCTTCAGTGTAAGCTCAATAAAAACTTGTTGCAACTTCTCATTGACGAAATTGATACTGAAATTATCACCAACACAATAAAATTTAAGGTTATAGTAAGAACGAGTCAGCCAAAAGAAATAAAAGGAAAAAAATTGAAAAAACAACAGGAGATAAACCAACCAAAACTGTTCGAATCCATTTACGTCAAAAATTTCGAAACCGTAAATATCCAATATTCCAATCGATAAAGGAAGCCCAGAATATCTAGTTGTAACTTTCATCTCATCGTTGACAGAATTTACTAAAGAACGTAAAGCATAGAAGCAACCGAAGGAAGTAATGTAACCAGTAAAATATCACTTTTCATTGTTACCCATTGAGAAAGCAATATAAAAACAGTGTTATAAAACAGGATTTCACAATTACTGAGGTATTCGAAAAGTCGGACGTAAAGATCCTTCACCCAAGCATCTCGAGTAAATTCGGCTTGTTCAACATTTAGTCTTACATCAATCTCTTCAGTTTCTTGGCCCCACCTACTTTCCATATGTCGACTTACCAACTTTTCGTTTATTTCTCCCGGCTTTAAACCCAACAAAAGTGCCGGGTATTCGAGTGCTGAAAAGTGCTACAGAACGACATACCACATACGAAACGAGTACAGCAGTATTCATTGTAAAGTTTAAACGTAGAAGAGCGAGGAAAAAGTAAAAAGAAAACAGCAACAAAGTTACTCGGAATTATTGTTGAAAATAAGGACAAAAGAAAAGATTTTTGACAACTAACACTTGCTGTCACTGACTGCTGCATAATTTTTACTTTCAACAAACTTAATATTTCCTATATGTAACATAGCAGCAATAATGTTTAATATCTCCCTCTGAACTTCCGGAGGAATACCGACGACGCCCATTGCGTGCTATAAAATGCTAACAAAAGTTCCTTGACTAATAAGCAAAGTTCAGTTGACAGTATAGAAGCTTTAAGAAACAGTAAGAAGTAGAAAAAGACTACAGAATCAGCAACAATCTATGCTTCTGTAAACCTACATGAAAACTTAAACTAACCATTGTTTGCTTATATTCATTTACATCATCAGTGCCTTGAGCGTCGTAGCATCCGCTGTGATTCAAATAATTATACTGATCAAGTGCCCAAAGCCCTAGGTTTTCTGTAAAAAAAGTACGGATGGGTCATAGGCAAAAAATACTTCTTCGTATCAGGAATACTGCGTTATTTTTACCAAACTATCACTGCACCATAAAAGGAAAGTAACGTACGTTTCATATTGTTATCTGCTCCCCTACACATTTGATAAAAAATATGAAAATTGCGTTCTCCAAGATTTTGATGTACCACTCGAGATTTTTCTAACAAAAAATTCGAAATCTGAAACATCAGTCTACTAGCAGCAACAACTTTGATAACAGCCTCAGTAAAACTTTCTGAGTAAACTAATGAATTCCTGGAAAAGGTTATTTTTAATCAAAGAATTCCTTTTGCCGTAGACGGCTTTATTTGAAAAAAATAAAAAATGTTCTTTTTTATTATTACTTCCCTATTATCCAACTTAATAGACGATTATATAAAGATGGTTTAGTGTAATGAACGAGCATACTTTTCCGCCAATTGGTTCACCGCCTCTACTAAAAACAATTTCCACATACTTTCCGAATCGACTAGAATTCCAATTTCTGACTGTTGCACTGTTCCCGAAGGCTTCAAGAAGTGGATTTGATTGCAAGATTACATCTTTTACGTGCTGAATAAAATTTTACGTATTAATGGTTTTTTTCCCACTATTTCTTCAAAACAAATACCTTATATCGACTGTCTATTACATGTGAAAGAAAAAAAAGCCCTCAAAGGCTTGCAACTAGAAGTATGAAAAGTATAAAAGTATAAAAGTACAAGCCAAAAGAAAAAAACCTTTTTTAATTTTTTAAAAATTAACTGAACTCTAGCAATTTAAATATTCCGACTCGTTTCTTCAGAACGAGAACCGATAAAAGCACTACAACCAGGAACAGAATGACAAATAGCAGCAAACCTGAACCCTCTGACCACCACCTGACATTCTGGCTATATAATTCATTATAAATTTAGCATTAACCGTCTTACCGGCACCACTTTCACCGCTAATAATCGCACACTGATTTTCATTGTCAATTAGCATATTCCTGAAAAAAAAAAGCATACTTTTCAATTATAAATGTGGTACCTCAAAATATCAGATGGTCAAACTGAAAAACCGCCGAAAAGCCGTAGCTTTCAACAACCTTCAAAAAAACCTAGTAATTTCTGTTGACTTTAATAAATTCTGCAATAATTATACTGAAAAACAGCTGTTACCTAAACATGTTCTCCGCAACAGCGTAAATATGTGGTGGATTTTCATACTGTGCTGCACCTTGATAAATTTCCATCTCTTTCTCTGTGAAGTACGGCATCTCCTTGAAAGGATTAACGGAAATGAGCACAGGTCCGATATAAGTCTAAAAAAATTATTTTACCAATTCTGCTATATGCACTGAGTATTTCGGACAATCCTAAAATGATAAATTAGAACTATTCAAGTTCCCCCTCTCATACCACTTCCATTTACCTCAGAAAAAAAGGGAACTTTCTATCTTCTGAAAGGTAAACTATCGCACCGGTTATTATCAATAATTCTTCTACACTTTTTAAGTAACAGCCAAACAACAGTAGCAAAGAAGTCGTTGAGGCAGAGTTGAACTAGGGAAACAACCGTATAAGCAAAACTTTTCAGGTCGAAAATTGTTCCTTATCCGACGATATAAACATTAGAAAACTGTGTGATAAACTTGCAAGTTAAGCTGGCTGAAATAACTTTCAACGACCATTTCTGAAAGTTTGAAGAAGTCTCAGGCAAATGGTGGCCAGAAAGTGGTGCTGTAAAACTCACAAACATGGCATTTGCATTCAATCTTTTCTTCAGGTTCTCAACGATGGCTTCTTCATTAATCTTTGTGAGCAGAACCATATCATCCACGCCAACATTTTGTATGTTGACTTTGGACTGCCAGTGAAAAGTCTGAAATTCAACATTTCATTTTTTTTTAAATTTCTAATATTGAAAGACAAGCAAAAAATTGGAAAAAATATGACGAAGTGTAAGTATCGGGAACATCCCAGTTGAAACAACTCTCTTAGTAAATTTGTGAGACTTGTATTTCCTTAGTGCTTCGAAAACCATGAGGTTGATGTACCAAAAAATTTCCAGACACTTTCTTGCCTTTTACAAAAATTACCCAAACTAGTAAAAATTGTGGCACCAGCTGTGTCAGAAAGCTTTTAAAATCAAGTATTTTCCAATAAAGTTGTAATATTAAAGTAACCTTTAAAGACTGAAACATTTTAAGTTTCAAGAGGAGAACTGATACAGAGGCACACAGTCCAAGCTCTTAAAGGTGTTACAGTAGCATTCGGAAAGTTCCGGTTATTACTGGTATTAAGACAAAAGCCAACGAGCCAGAGAAGTCTATTTTTACAATTTCCTTTTACTTACACATATTTTCTCTCCCTTCAATAACCATAAAGTGATGATACATCATCAATAGGTAGCAAAATAAATTAGTCTTCAACAAGCAGCAGTACTGTCTGTTTTTGCTGGAAACAAACATTGACACAACGGCTACACCGATTGTTGCGGTTCTCCTGACCGCAACGGTGGTGCCAAAGTTAGAAAAAACGGACAGCCCACTACCATCCAAAAGACAAACGCTCTTTTTGTGCGTACGAGTTTTGGTCTAATCGTTTAGTCCGTGCTTTGGGAGAATTTTATACAAATACAACAGAATGGCACCGGATGAACGATAAACATGAGCAGAAATTTTAACCATGAAAGCTGGGTGATAAGCTAATTCAATTTTTTCCTAATCATTATCCATACCAAGTTCTGCTCAGTGATGGAATGAATCGATTCTAGTAAAATCGTTACTCCTGAACAACAACAACAAACACTTAGATGTTATAATCAGTAAAATTTTATAACTATCCTATGACCAAGATTTTAAAGAAATAAGAATAAAACGTATTGTGTTGCTTGAAAACGATGATATAACGAAATCAGTTGGCAATAATCTTATACTGTTCACGTTGCCGAAAAACGATGCCAATTTGTCGTATACAGCTGCTGAAGCAATTCTATTGATACAGTTTACTCTGAAGACTTTCCTTGTAGTTAACCAACAACCGATAATACCCGTAAGACGTAGCTTTAAAATTATATGCCTTTCAGAAATGACAGATTACAAAATACATTGAAAATTTAGTTAATATAAAAAGGTATAAAAGAAAAAATTCAATTAATAAATGTAAGAGCTATAAACAAATTCCTTGATTTTTTTTTCAAGTAAAATTTAAAAAAAAAACCCTTTAAATATTCTTGTAAAAATTGTTTTTTTTTTTTTCAACGTGGTATAATTATTTCTGTATAACGCCTAGCGTATTGCTTCAACCGTTATTGTTCTTCTTCTGAACATTCAGTTCTGTTCAAAAGTTGTAAACAACCAACTGATAATTTTACAGCAAAATTTTTATCTTGACAAAAAAAAACTAGCTTTAAGTACTTTGTGTGATTTTAGCTACTAAAACACTCTGGACAAATAAAGCAGAGGTGATAAACGGTGATACTGAAGCAATAGACAGTCATCTTTTGTCACCTTCTATTAACTAAAAATTTTTTTTTTCAGTTCTGCAACTACACTTTCTTAGCACGTAGAATAAATAAAGCATAAGTTAAGAAGAAGAAGAAGAAGAAGAAGAAGAAGAAG